ATGCCTGATGAACAAGATTAACTGTAGTGGCTAGAATTGCAATCTTTTTGCCAACATTAATCTCCATTAAAGATTTCACAAATTCTTGAACCATCAGCAGAGAAAGCATTGTCCTGTCAGTACCCGGATCCACCATAGCAATTGTGTTCCTCATTAATGCAACCTTGACAGCCTTCATCTCACTTCAATTAATCCAAAAAAAGGCATAGAACAGTTCTTAAACTCACATTGAAATCAAAATTGCATGAAGCACCCTCCGAATGTCCATAAACAAGTTTCACCTTTACTTCTACCCAAACTTTTGTCACATTCTATTGTTTTTAGTTAAATACATGTTTTAGTGCATACTCTGAATAAAATAAAAAACTACACGTAGTAAATACTACCTCCGCCACAAAAAGTTTATCCTGAAACGTGTAAGCTTTTTTAGGGGGTAGTATCTATAAATTAACAAAAAAGTTAAGCTTAAAATTGCAATAAGAGATCAGCATACTCTCTTCGTAGAGGCCGTGGTTTGTCCACGTTAGTCGAGTCAGTTTCTGTTTGCCCTCCATTCATGACTTGGAAGCTTCTCTTCAGAGAGGTTTGCTGGGAATGCTCCATTTTTCGCTTTTCTTTTCTAGAAATATCGACGCAAAAATAAAGAATTCAGTCCATAAAACTTCTCTGCAATGCAAATAACATGAAAGGTTTCGACTTTCCCTTAGCTGTTCGCTCACAACTTGATGCTGAGTATGGAAAGAAGAGCTGAGGGAGGGTGAGAAGTAACTTTTCGAGTTCTGGTTAGGGAGTCTACTCCGTATTTTATTTTTCAGATTTTTTTCCCAGAAAAATGCTAATTAAATAAATAATTTCCAAAATACTGCCGGGTTAAGAATAATTCCCGAAATACTGCTGGGTTAACCACGGTTAAGGAAAGCCGCCACTCCAAGTGGCGGCTTTTGTACAGCTTCACAAAAGCCGCCACTTGGAGTGGCGGCTCTTTTACCTCTGTATGAAAGCCGCCACTCCAAGTGGCGGCTCTCGTGTTAAAGAACCTGCTGCAACATCATTCAGACAACTAAACCTGTAATTACCAAAAAAACAGCTCATCACAAAATCACAGTCCATTCCATTCAAAAAACAACCAAACATATGATTTACTAAGACCAAATACACCCGAAACATAAAACGAATCAATGAAACTACATGACAACATACATCCAAAATACAAAACGATTTACTAAGACCAAATACACCCGAAACATAAAACGAATCAATGAAACTACATGATTTTAATAACATATTGTAACATATTTGAAATAACGTATTGTAACATATTTATTTAAAAACAACCTTTAGATTTTAGAAAAATAATTTTAATTTGTAAGTTTGTAACCAATTAATTAATTTGAGAAGTACTACATATGAAAAAATGAACGCATAGAATGAGTATAGTAATTAATGGGAGTAAATGAGTAATAGAATGATTTTAAGTGATATTAATTAAAGTGTAACTAATATATAATATAATGTTTATAGTATATAATATATAAGTATACTACTATAAGATGAGTAATACACTTATATTTTATACTTTAATATATAAACTATATATTAAGTAGATGTAGAATGTATGTATTAAGTGGATATAAGTAGATAATTCATATATAAGTAGATATAATAATTGTATAAGAATTAAATATTAGAGTATAATGGAGAATTGGAGACTGGAGAATAAGAAAATAAGTATATACTACCTCTGTCCCATTTATATTGGGACGGAAGAGGGTGGCACGGTTATTAAGAAAAGTGGGTTTGTGTGGTTGATATTAATTGATAAAGTAAGAATAAAGTAAGAATGATTTAGAACCACACAAACTTTGCCAAATATGTTATGGGACAATTTAAGTGGGACTTCCCGAAAAGGTAAAACGAGACAATATAAATGGGACGGAGGGAGTATGAAATATAAGTAGAGAAGTAGATATTATTATGTATTAAGTATATACTAATAGTTTATAAAGTATATTTAATACTTTAATATATAAAGTATATATTAAGTAGATGTAGTATTGTAGTATGTATGTATGTATTAAGTAGACATAAGTAGATAATAAGTAGAGATTAAGTAGATAAGAAATATAAGTAATATAGTATATGTATTTATAAGTAGATAATTAATATATAAAGATATAATAATTGTATAAGTATTAAATAGTAAAATAAAATATAATGGAGAATAAGAGAATTTGAGAAGATGAATATGGAGATGAGTAGAGAGTAGAGAGTAGAGAGTAGGAATGTAGGATTTAGGAAGAATTGGAGAAGAGGTGTGAAAAAATGTTTAAAATTAGGAGTATTTATAGGTTTTTTTTTAACCCCCACCCCCCAAAAGCCCCGGACCCCCCCCCCCCCCCCGGTACCCACCCAATGGCTATATAGCCGTTTGGGAAGTGGGTCAACACCCCAAAAGGGTGTTTTAAAAAAAATGTTTTTTTTTTAATTGTGACCGTTAGGCCCGGGTCTAACCGGGCCGGGTCCCCAAAACCTAGCCCCAAGCCCGGACCCGCCACCCCCACCGGTTTGGTGCCCGAACCGGACCCGGACTCGAGAACCGGGCCGGTTCCGGACCCGCACAGTAGCGGGCCAGGCCGGTCCCGGGCCGGGCGGCCCGAACCGAGTCCATGACTAACTATGAGGCAACTACACACACCAGTCCTCTTTTGATCATACTCCGTACTAGCTAGTAGATAAAGCAGAAAGTTAGTAATAAAGGAGAGTATTGCGTAATAGGTTCATGTGGCATGCTTGATTGCTTGTTTCCCTTAAAGATGGAAGTATATAATGTTAGTGGTATTCTAACTTCTAAGCCTCCATGTAATGTGTTATTTTGATGCACATAAACTTAGTAGATAATGCTTGATTGCTTGTTTCCCTTGATCTGAATATTTCTGATCTGATCTGAATCTTTCTGATCTGATTTGATTTGAATATTTCTATAATTATTATAATTATTATAATTGTAATTACAAATATAATTTAAATAAAATTATAATTATAATCATAAATATAAAATAATAATAATAATAATAATAATAATAATATTTAAAATTAAATTTAAAATGAAAAACTTATACCCATTACACTAATTATAAATATAGATACAATTATAATTGTAATTATATTTTTAATTATAATTACTTATATAATTATAATTGTAATTATAATTAAAATATTTATCTCTATAATTGTAACTATAGTTATCAATATTATTATAATTACTCTGTAAAATAATTACAATAGTAATACTAATAAAATATTATTAATAATTATAATAATAATCATAATAATAATAAATTATAATTATAATATAATTATAATTATAATTATAATTATTATTATAAGTATTATAATTACTATAATTATAAGTATATTAACAATAATTATAAAATTATAATATAATAATAGTAATATAAATACAATTAATATTATTACAATGATATTATTATATTAATATTATTATTACAATAATATAATAATAATATGATTATTATTATAATATTATATTATTATTATAATATTACATTATAATTATAATTACAATCATAATTATAATTATAATTATAATTATAATAATGATTGTAATTATAATTATAATTATAATTATAATTATAATTATAATTATGATTGTAATTATAATTATAATTATGATTGTAACTATAATTATAACGATTATAATTATAGTTAATTACAATTATAATTATAATTAATTATACTTATAATTATAATAATTATAATTGATTATACTAATAATTATAAGAATTATAATTATATATTATAATTATAATTATAATTATAAGTAATTATAATTATAATTACAATTGTAATTATATTACAATAATAATCATAATTACATATAATTATAATATAATATTATAATAATATTGATCATATTATTGCATTTATATTACTATTATTATATTACAATATTATAATTATTATTTATATCTTATTATTTTTTATCATATTATTATTAATAATAATTATATAATAATAATCATAATAGTAATAATAATAGTAATAACAATATTAGTAATAATAATTAATATAATAATAAAAGTGATAAATCATATTTGAACTTTTCTGATCTGAATGTTTCTGATCTGAATAAAATAAGAATAAGTAATAAGAATGAGACGAAGAGAACAACTTCTTAATCTTGCTAACATGCATATATATTTTTATCGTAGAGGCATGGATTCACATGCTGACGGATTCACTGCAAGATGGGCTCTAAACTCTAAATTAGCACGACTTGTCTAATACGTAGTATTAATTATTGAAGAGGGATTTAATTATTTTGGATAGTATTAATTGTATTAAACTGCTTCTATTAGTTAATTTTCTCTAGTAGATAATTATATTAAATATTCAATGACATTATATTTTCTAGAACTGATCCACTTTCTCATGCCATTTTATAACATAATTACTCTTCCATATGCATGAAACCTTTAGTGCAGTTACATGAAAAGTTATAATTAATCAACTTTTTAATAGGGAAAATGGAAACTAATAATCCAACCTTTTAGCGGTCTTCTTTTAATAATCCGACCTTTTCGTTATTCATGAATAATCCAACCTTTGCACCTCATCTTCATTCATTGATCTCCGACCGATTGATGACCTGCTATTCCGAGTTATTTTCTTATCTCTGCAAACTATTATACCATAAATTCCACCTTTCACAAAGATAATATTTTGCAAAGATAAGAAAATAACTTATAATAGCAGGTCATCAACCGGTCAGGGACCAGTGAATGAAGATGAGGTGCAACCGTGCAAAGGTTGGATTATTCATGAATAACGAAAAAGTGGGACTATTAAAAGAAGACCGCTAAAAGGTTGGATTATTAGTTTCCATTTTCCCTTTTTAATATTGATCACAAACAATATATTTCACCAAATAAATTTTACTCCGTGCATCGCACGGGTATTGCACGGCAGCACAGGTGCAACGGCCAGGCCAGAAAGATTCTAAATGCAATTAGATAGCCAGAGTTACCACCGAATAGTATTTACAATTTTTAGTCAGTTCATCATTTAAATGCTACTTACACCAAATTTAACTTCAATAATGCATGTGTACTCGGGTGTGTTAAATTTGGATTATGCAGGATAAACACACCCTCCTGCTAGCTGCTACCATCAGCCTCAGTTAGAATTAGATACACAGTTACTTCCAAAACCAGCTCGTTATCCCTACGTCAAAAATAGCTCATGCACAGAGAAAAGATTACTCTTTACGAATGGTGATTTTCCCTTGTCGTTCAAGTTCAAGGAGCATGGCACGTGCAGCAGAATCACTAGAACTCTTCTTGTCGGGTCTTTTCTCACCCGAGAGTTCAATCACTCCAACATTTGGAATCGTCAAGGTGATTCGGGATTCGAAACTGATAAATCCAGTCCTCCTTTCAGAACCCTCACCAAATTCAATCAGAGACCTGACCAGACAATAATAGGCTGTATTGGTTACTATCTTGAATGCTAAGTCACATACAGAAGAAGAAAAACAGGAGTATTTTTTTTTTAGGGCAAACAATATTAGGGGCGCATTTGGTAAGAGTTATATAGCTGAATTTTCTCAAGGGGGGAATGTTTGGTAAAATCCCTTTAAGCCAAAATGCCATATTAGTCAAGAGTTACATACTTCTATCTTCTATTATCTTATTATTTCATTATTTTGCTGGCCATATTAGGCAAAATAAGTCGCGTTTGACTACCAAATGTACTCTCAAACTGCAAAAAATTATTGCTTAAATAAATTTCCTTTTTTGGGACAGAGTAATAATTTAGTTTTAACTTTACTTACTTTGATTTAGTCTCGGATGCATCAAATGTGGGTATTGGCCATTGAAGTGACTTGCATAGGCTGAACAGTGATGTCCTTGGTCCTCCCTTTCTCAAGTTGATTGGCGGAATTTCTGCAAATATAAAAAATAAGCATCATTCATGAGAACAACGCTTACTATATGGGCCCAATTTTCTCATAGATTCAGTACACGTCCATAAATATCTACATACACGTGATCAGCATTAAGTTTCTTTCACAACTAAAAGCAGAGGCATGGTTGCAAAGCCAATATACTGATTTCTACTGTTTGAGTTCCAATTTATAACACTTCAACATTATAAACCTTTAATAACTATGCACTTGCACGCAACTCGCATGTGCACGCATCTCACACGCATACAGTTCACAATTCCAAATTCAACAAGTCTCCATACATATTTTTTGAAGCTGCTCCACATAAGAAAAGATTACAACTCCATAGACCATGTCGTTACCGTGTCAATTCAGCATTGTAACCTAAACCATGCTAATATTTGAAATATTGTATACATCTGTAGTCTTTCATGTAAGAACAACTTCTGATAAGGTCAGTATCAAATTGCTAGTTCACTGCCTATAAAGATAACACTTTGCTGGGAAAATCAGCAGTCTTTGGAAAATCTATTATAAATAGCATGGGGTGATTGTCAGTCACATATTCCAACAAAGTTATAGATCCATGCTTTTGAACTGGATGACAGGTGGATAGAGTTCAAATGAAGGAGATGATGCCATTCCCTCTAAGGGAGACAAAGAGCCTCATACCTGGAATATTGTTATTTGATTTAGGATTGCTAGAGCTATCAGCAGTTAACAGAGGAACCCCTGCTAAAGGAACAACAAGGTCGGTCTCTGGTCTATTCTTCGTTGATGAGACTCCTCTACTCTGTAAAAACAATTAGAGTTAAATTCAAACAAGTAGAGCATATGTAAATCTCCAACTCATAACCACATAGTCAATTCTATTCACTAGTGGCAAGGAAATCCAAGTGTGTTTTTTGCCAATACACATGCAAATTGACATTGATTATAAAATTGATGTGACAAGAAATTACATTTAAAGATGGAGCATGGAGTATTAGATGACCAGTTGCAATTCGCTAACAGCATGCAACTTCACAAACACGTATTTTCCACAATTGAAAGAAAGGTGATCTGTTAGCAGATACTACCTCCATTGCGAATAAGAGTCATCTTTGATCAGTTTAAAACATTAAATTTTGGTAAGGTACAACTATCACAAATCATGAAGTGAATTTATATCTTTTTCAAATTTAATATCTGTTAGTTTAACTAAATTTATCAATTCTAACTTGTGAAGTTTTCTTTTTGTAATTTTTGACGAATGGCATGAAAAATTAGCTTTGTTTGGTTTTGGGACAATTAAAACTTTCCTTTACCACAAATATATACTTCCAAACTTTATCCCAGCATTTTATATGGTAGAAAGTGGACCATGGCTTCATAGCAACTAATGAACAAAAAAATACACACTACACACATTGACAGAGTAGAGCAGCAGACAAGAGCAAAAAGGAAAAGGAGAGGTTTCAAGATTCAACCTTTAAGTTTTTTAGTAGAAGAAGACCAGCCTGCCCTTTTGCATCTTTTCTGCACTGCCCAAGCCCCTCTCCAAACAGCAACTCATCTTCAAGCTGTACTGTGAGTTCGGCATGCACTGCTTCCCCCTTTCTTTGCCAATATTGTTTCAAAAAGTAGCCGGAAGAGCTACACAATTCAATTAATTCCCTATATGGAGGGAGTTCTAAACTTTCAGGAGTAACAATGGGTGAGAGTATCGGTTCAAAGATTTCCCAGACTTTGCCTAAGTCAAGTTTGGTATCAATAAGTATTGCCCCGGCAATACTTTCCACAAGATCTCCCAATTCCTGTAAAATAATAACAAATAAGTATGTTTGTACTAAAGATCAGAACACACATAGGATCCGTTTGGAACCTGTAAAATGCTATCGATAGAAAATACGGGTGAAAACAGAGGGGAAATTTAAAGGGAACAAAACTAGAGGGGGGAAATGTTTTGGAATCAATAATTCAATTTTAGGCATTTCTTCAAACTTGTTTGATTGAAAATACCCATGTATAAAGACTGTGAAATGCTTTTCGTTATACCAAACCAAACACAAGAAAAATTCAACTATTTTTTTTGGCATTTTTCCTTTCCCTACCATTTCGCAAGTTCCAAACTTAGCTTAAGTAGTTTTGCAAACCTTGGGAGCTTTCCCGCCCACAAGCAACTCCGCAGTGCAGCTAGAGTTAGATATGGACTTCTCAAATTCCAATATTTGGCTTTCAAGATTGGTTGAGCAGTGCTGAAGATGCGGATGAAGATTTGCCCTCACAGCAGCAAGAGCGAAATTTGTGTTGTTGACAGAAGCAGAACGTAAATCTGTCAACTCCCCAGGGTCAACATCAGTGTGGTTTTGATAGAGATACCAAGTGATTAGAATGTCTAGCACGGCATCTCCAAGAAATTCAAGCCTCTGGGAAAAGTTAACCAAGAATAGAAAGTGAGCAGGATATAAAACAAAAACAATAACAGTTTTAAAAATAAAAAGATATATGGAGTACAACTATTGGTCCCAGTGGGTCATTTTTATTATGGTCCCATACTATCACTTTTCCCAATTTCTGAGCACGACTATGACTTTATTGCCACTTTTGGTCTCTCTAGTTACTTATCCCACAAAAACGCAACCGCGAATGATACGAAAATTGGCTAGATAAGGAGGTCCTGGTTGTGCTCCAAAAGTGGAAAAGAAAAGTCAGGGACTGAAAGTGAAAATGACATGATTGTACATGGGACCAAACGAGGAATTCTTTCATAGTTTAATAAGGGTAGTTATATTATCACTTATCAGCAACCTCGTAACAGCACCCAACACCTAGCTCTTGCTTAGTTTTGTGTGTTATGGCCTCTAATATCAACCCCTTGACAGAAAATGTGTAACCGATTTTTGACTCAAGGCTTTCAATGCTAACAGTGCTCGGCATATAGGAGTGCAGAGAAGCAGCTTTTATGGCATCATTCACCATGGATAGATCATCAAGATCAATATCCATACCAACCCATTTCATCAACTTAATAGAAGAAACCAACCCACCACCAACATAATATGCTCCCACCAGTGCTTCAACACAGTCAGATATAGTCTTTGATACTATCCATCTGTGACCTCTATCACAGCACCGCCCGATTTCAACCGTCTCATCATCTCTGGAGAAATCATCATTCACTGGCACTTCTAAGGTGTCCACCCCATGTTTGCATGGAGAAGGCCAAATAGAAAGCTGACCTGGAGCAGCCCATGTGCGGGGAATAAATGGACGGTCTAGTATATATCCCTGAAAAGAGTGAAACAGTAGAACTTAAAGAAATAGAAAACTGATGTAAAGAAAACAGAAATCTTTTCATAAAAGCACGCACAGACCAGTTGAACCCTTCTTCTATGAATAGAGGGAGATAAATTTAGAAGAAATTTCATTTTTTGTCCTACAGATCATTTTAACTTTTGATCCGCCTCTTCCATTTCTACTTTTAGCCTGGCCTGTGGATTCCCTGCCACTGATCTGGCCAATTTCATATTAATTTTTGATGAATAACATATGCTCATATCATAATACCTGTATATTACGGCTGATGCCCAACCTATGAAGTGTTGAGTTGCACACTGCCCATCTACGCTTGTCAGAGAGCACCCCTTCATCTTTATCGAGATATTTGAGGAAGAGGTGACAACCCAGAGCATATTTCAAAACTGAATCTCCTAGCAACTCTAAACGCTCCATGGAAAAAATTTCATTGCACCTCTGGGTTGTGAGAGCTTCCAGAACCTGATCATAAATAATGTCTAGTTATCCATTATAACAAATTAAAGTGATAAAGCAATACAGAGTACTGTTTCCACCAAAACAAAAGTGGTATACCAATGAGCTTGGCACATTTGAGTCACCATAAAGACAACAAATCTCTCTTCTTAGCTGGCTGGCAAGCATCAAACACTGGAGTCTATGCATCAGTGAGGGCATCAAGTAAAATGACCTCAAGACATCCAATTTAATATCAATACTGATAAGAAGTTCTGGTGGAATGTGAGCATGCTGGTGTGGTTTTATGTTAGCCGTTTTGCTATTATTCTCTGGCTCCTTTAGCGATGACAATCCTGAAAGAAACAAACAAGAAAAATGCTCATTTAAAAAATGTTCAATAGGTACTGCTCAAAAACTGATAGTGGTTAAAAAAATTAAAGCGGTAAACTATTTGATTCATTTCCACAAAAAAGAAATACTACCTCTGTCTAAAGATAATGAAGTCATGTTTGACTTCATTTTTATATTTTGTAAGATGCAACTGTCTGAATCACCAATTAATCACAGTAACACTTTTTTAAAAAAATGTTGGTGTAACATAAGTTAACATTTGTAACTTATGTGACTATCTTTTGGCTAGTAACAAGGAAAATTATCTTCACTTCATCAATGTGGTCTCTTCTTTTAGGGCATAATAAGTGTTCAAACGTGACTTCTTTTACAGAGGAAGAATTGACTTTGTAACATGCTATAAACCATTCTTTGCTGCTCTGTATAAAAGGAAATGCACTAAGCCACCAGAAACAGAAATGAACACTAAATTGTCAATTTGCTTTAATGAAGGAGGAAAAGGGGTAATATTCACAATGGGAATGTGAATAGGATAGTATGAAAAGATTAAGAATGGTAGACGTTAGCATTGTGAAGACATGTATCAAGACATGTTAAATTAGGAATGGTAGATGAGATTCAACAGATTTTTTATTCATACAACCCATGAATCAAGACATGGAATTCAAAACGTAAGAGAGGTTTTGTAGGAATATGAATACCATAGGGCAAAGATATACATAGTATTAATATGTACTTAAGGGAGAAGAGCTAACCTGTGTTTCTGAAGTCCACGAGAAGATTATGGGCATTATGGCTTTGCTTTAGCAGGAATATCGGCTGTTCAGGATACAACAGAGTAATCCCGTACCTGATGAAGTGATTAACAGTAAAAATTATCCTTACCATGAAATGTTAACAGATTAAAGGGATGCAGCGTTAGGACAATGTACCTTTTCTGGAAGTAGTCATCATAAGATGAATAGGTAGATGGGGCTTCTTCAGTGCTACCTTCGAATGGACTTCTAGAGGATGAATCAGGAACAGCTTCCAAGATAGAATAGATTCTTCCCGAATGAATAGCAACAACAACCATACCCCTCACACTATTTCTAGGAACTGATATATTGGCCATGTGAATCTGCTCTATAGAATCAGTATCCATTGCATCCAAATCATTTCTATGGAGAAAACTATTCCTTCTGTTAGCTTCAGACAACTCAGCATTAAGCCAAGCATTTTTCTTCAGATATTCCACAGCAGAAACAGAGGAATGAATTCCATTCCAATCAATGCACAACCGTTCAGAACTATGGCCTACTGTATCAAGGGGCAAGAGCAAGTACATATATGATTTCTCCCAAAGAGATTCCTCCATGTTAAATATGAGCTTCCTTTCACCTGATGCACGCGTAAACAGTTTCCCAAACAGCCCATTAAAGAAGAATTCCTGAAACCTCTTTGCTTTCCTGACCTGATAGCGAAGAATGATTTAATTCTTATAAAAAGAATGAAACACCCCATTTCCTAGAACTACTTATACATGGAAGATTTTTAAAAAATAGAGCCCAGAGTTCATTTGAACCTGATCTGCATCCAGTGTTATTAGCCCAAGTGAGGAGATAGAAGCCTTAACAATTCTTCTAAGCAAGTAGAGTTCCACTTCTATATTTCCAACATCATCATCTAGCTTTGATTCCATTAAAAGAACAAAACTGGAATAGTTCACTTCTGGATCATTGGAGTAGAAGACCATTTTATAAGCTTGAAAATTTACTTCAGCTTCCACCTCTCCCCACAATCCAGCCAGTGCACTGATGCTTGATGTCCCATGCAATTCCTTTCTCTTTGTAGTTCCTGGAAGCACTTAATAACAATAATACAATATGCCCATGCAATTCCTTTCTCTTTTTCATCAGCTTTTGGTAGAAGCCAATGAAAAAGAAGCCAAAATATACAAGGGGTCAGTTTGGAGGACTAAGCCTGTTTTTTTTTTATAAATATCTGATATTTTATATAAAAAATTGAAGGGCTACATAGAACCTTTCAGTCACCCTTTACATGCTTTTAGAAACAATATATCCATCAAGATATACAACTAAACCCTCCAAAGCACACCCCTACATAACCTTCAAAAAGCCTCCACCCAAACTGACCCTTCAAAAGAAAATCAAATCAAATTCTGATGCAAGTTAACACTGACCTGCACCTGACGTTGATACTTGAGAATGCAAATCCAAATCCTTTTGGGAGGTAGCCTTTGTGCCAGCAGGGAGAAGATGGTCATTCAGTGCCCCCAACTCGTGCAGCTTTTTGCATGCCTCCAAGCATGCATATTTTTTAGCTACACGAGCATTCAAACTATCAGGGCCAATAATGGTTTGAAAAGCTGCACTCATTGGTAATGTTAATTTGCATCGGTACAACTGCTCTGGGGACACAATGGTCTCAAATTCTGGTTTTGGATTGGCGTTCCTGAGGGAGTAGCAGAACTAATATTGTAAGCAGTAAATAGATCGGGCCTAAGGACAAATAATGCATATAAGGACAAACTACTGACAAAGCATATATGTATGGTATTCAAATTGGGCATGACTCATATTGTGTTATAGACTTGTACATAAACAGCAAATATCAATCTCCAATACCTATACTGCTATACATTACATTTTAAAATTATCAAAAACGCAATACTGGCTGCTATTTTGGGTTGGAGAATGCGATCAATATAGTTTCATTGGCTATTAAACTTCATTATCTTGTAGACACTCACTAAATTGCTGGTCACACATGTGTCAGTAGACAGACAATTAGAGTCCAAGCAAGACAGGGAATTTCTGGTTTAGTGCGGAACTTTTCCTCCATACTTTAACTTCAATTTCTAATTTAAATGGAGAGTTTTTTTTATAGACACCCAGTGAAGCTGCTAGTACGAATAATAATAATAAGCATTACGGGAAGGTATATAGTAGGAAAAAGGAAGGATAACAATTCGTTAGTTGCTGAGGTGTAATTTCAGAGTGTATTCTGAATAGAGTAAATAGTGGGGAAAGGGTAGTTAGTAAACAGGCTGTTTTGTTAGTTAGAACTGGACTGGGAAGATTGAGACTGACTGCCTCTCTCTTTGGGCTACGGATGAACTTGTATTCACCATTAATGAAGTTGGAGTTGTTTTCTTGAATCATTTTCATCTTTCTCTGTTAATCTTACATACCTGCGAGTACTCTATCATTTTTTCCCAGAAATGTTTTCAATTTTCACTTTGGAAAACGAAGTCCATTTGAACAATATACTTTTCCATTTTAATGTTTCTGTTTATTACGGAAAAAGGGAGAACTTTCCAAAAACTGAACTGGTCCAAAGTTTTCGCAGAAGAATTGCATGCCTCTGAGAAACTTGGCTAGATAAGCATGTTAGCAAGTATTAATATTTTCATTCAAATGAAGACAGTATTAGATATTTACTCCGCAAGAACTATTCGTACTTGTGTCCAAGCTTTTGGCAGTATCGATATACAAGACTGATGCTTGAATCCACATCCACGGACGCACCAGTTGCCTCTACACAATACGCATTGCTTTTCTTCATTTCACATACTTTTGGAACAGAATTACACTCCATTATCCTCACATCCACAGATGCACCAGTTGTCTGTGCACAATATGCATCACTTTTCTTCACTCCACATTGTTTTGGAACAGAATTATACTCCTCTATTGTCACAGAATCATAGTCCTCCTTTATTGCTGATATATCTAACATAGGGAACTCACAGCATATCAAATGGAACATTTGCTCTCTTTGTTTTAAGTTTCCCCTGAAATACATACAATGTGAATGGTTTGAAACAGCAAAACATAGCATATACACGAAGTGATAAAAATGAAGCAGGCTGTCTAGCATTTTATATTGTTGTATACTTGTATTTCCTCTTCTTTTAAATTCTTATGGAATAAAGTACTCTGTAGTATTTTGGTAACTTCCGAACTATTGTTGCCAGGTAATGCTTTCCAATTATAGTCAATGCTTAAGTATTAAGAATTAAAAGTAGAGAAAAAGTACTAATATGTTCATCACTATCTATATCGCGCAGCGTGTATTGACCTTCAAGGCATGAAACAAAGGCTTTTTGACCTACTCACGAGCTTGATTGCCTACCCTGCCTCCTGAAGAGTATCCATAACCACTCAAATCTATCATATTCCCTGCACCTCACCCACCACACTCAGCCTTAATGAGTTCAGTCCACAAGTATCCATCAACTCATCCTCCACTTCACAAATTAAAATGAAACAAAATATCCTTTAGCTTTAAATTTGTTTATTAAGCAAATATAAAATATTTTTCCATCATTTGCAATGGAGCCAAAGATTCATTATTTTTTGGCTTGAGAATATGATGGAATAAAGCAAAATGGCTCACCAAACTGTCTGCGCTTCTTTGTTATGAAGCAGCAGTCAGTCAATGCAATTTTTGGACGCGATTTTCATTATGGGTCATACGGAAACAGTCTCTCTGTGCTTTAGTACAGGGTTAAGACTGTGTACATCCGACCCCCCCTTACCCCACCATAGGTGGGAGCCTTTGCGGCACTAGGGTAAATGATGATTGATTGAAGCAAATATAAAATATAAACGTCACTAAACCGCCTCAAAAAAATCCATCAACATATCCTTCATGAATTCTATTTCCTGAAAGAGAATAAGGCCCTATCCAGTTCTTTCACCTTTCAAGCATAGTTATGTACTTTGAAGCCTTTTTACATGCTTGTTTTTGAGAGTTGATGTAGCTAGAAACAGCACTTGGCAAATCAAATCTTATGATAGAATTGCAGTCGGGTGCGTTTATTCCATCCAAAACTGTATATGTTGTAAATAATATATCCACCTAGGACAAAAATCTTGTAGTCAGAACAAAATTCAATGATTGATGGCTATACAAATTGCTAAGCATGCATAGTTGTACCATTCTAGAGCAGAAGGATCCAAAAGTTATTGTCTTTGCGAGTCTCTCTGCAACTTTAGATGTTATAGCACTTTCAACATATACAATGCATGGTAATTGATCCACCCTACATCCCGGACAGGTAACAAGAGACAGTAAAGAGAAAGCAAGTAAAGGGTAAGACTGTCATATGAACTGGACATTGTGAAGTGGATCATTCACGTATTGTTACCCAAATGATTTGAGTGTGTCAAAGAGCAGATGTAACTTGGGTGATATATGGCCCTTCATGATTGTTACAGAAGGATCGTAACCACAAGCTGGAGGCTTTTTATAATCTGCAGAAATGAAGGTAGTGGTAAAAGAGCCAAACAAACAAACCTAATAAGATATAAACTATTCAAGCAACTAGCTGCCAAACATATCTGGAGCACAATCATATATCGCATAGATACCGCTTAAAATAGTTTATATTCATTGTGCCAATACATAACACTGATGAAATTATAACACTATACTAACTCTATTAGGAAAAAAAGTCATGCTTCGGATACCAAAAATAGCATGACAAACATAACTCTTTTTCGGATTAGAGAAATAAATATCAACTAAAGAATTTGATATGGTAACAGCAATCATGAGGTTGAAAAATCTTTATTCTGACAGTGACAATATAATAATGAAGGAAAAGGTCCATTTAAAAACAAGAGAAACAGTATCTGAAATATATAAGTGAAAGCTCACATGATTAACGAGCATAAGTTACTACTGAAAGACGTTAGTTAATACCACTTCCATCCCACTAAGACTGGGATATGAGAAACTGGTGTGGCTTTTCAGAAACGTGGGTTTACATAATCGGTATTGGATTGGTAAAGCGGGAAATAAAAAAAGATCAATCAGAACCACACAAACATTACAAACTTAGTGGGATGGACAAAAAAGGAAAGATGGGACGAAGAAAGTAGGACGGAGGGAGAACCTCAGTACCACTTTATCATTTATACAATGCAGTATAGAAAGCACTCAAATGAGTCCAGAAATAATTGATCGTTCACTGTAGAATGGGTTAAAAGCAGATTGATGAATAATATAACTGGATTAGTAAGAATCCCAAGTTAAAAAACAGCAAGAAATAAGCATGCACAAATAAGTATTAATTAAGCAAATACAAGGAGTGGTAAAAATAAGTGAACGGTTCCAAAATAAAAGTTTTTAAGAGCTAAACGTGAAAAGTAAAGACTACTACCAGGTGGCAATGACTCGTCGAAAGTCGATATTACTTCCTCAAGAAAATATCTATGCTGAGAGGAGCCTTCCTTGCCTTGATATTCTTCTCTACTGTTAACAATATTCTCCAGACAAACTTTAGCAGCCTACAATAAGAGATATCAATAATAGGCATCAAAGCAGAAACCTGTAGAAAGGCTTCAAAAACAAGGAAAAACATAAAGATTTCCACCATTTTTTATGAATTCCAAATTTAACTTGCATTATAAAATGCTTCACAAGGTACAGTGAACCTCAACGCTCCTTTTTCTCACTAATATATTTTCTAAATAATGTATTTTCTGAGTCCTTTCTTATTTGTTATAGTCATGGATGAACTTACAAAGTCAATTCAAGAAGAGATACCATGGCGTGATGATTGCCGACAATATTGTATTGATTGATGAGACACTATCGGGGGTTAAAGCAAAGTTGGAAGTATGGCGACAAACTTTGGAGACCAAGAGTTTCAGAATGAGTTGAAGTAAGACTGAGTATATGGAGTGCAAGTTCGGTGAAGGTAGAAGTAGTAGTAACAGTGGGATTACCCTTGATGGCAAGGAGATACCGGTGTGTGATATGTTCCATTATTTGGGCTCTATAATTCAGAATGACGATGAATTAGATGGAGATGTATCCCATATAATCAGAGCAGGGTGGATGAAGTGGAAGAGTGCATCGGGGTTTCCCATGTGATTGAGGTATGCCGGCTAGACGAAAGGGTAAATTTTATCGGACAACAATTAGGCCTGCATTAATGTATGCCACATTCAAAAGATGAGTGTGGCAGAGATGTGTATGTTACGTTGGATGTGTGGACATACCAGAAAAGACTGCTTGAGGAATGAGATAATCAGACAAAAGGTGGGAATAACACATATAGAAGATATGTTACACGAGTTGAGATAATAAGAAAAGACCGTTTGATTGCGGTGGTTTGGTCATGTTCGTAGAAGATCGTGTGATGCATCTGTTACACGAGCTGAGAGCTGGGGAGAACAGGCGGGTAGGAGGGGGAGGGGGGAATACCCAAACAAACTTGGATTAGAGGATTCAGAACTGATATGCTTCTTCTTGGGTTGGATTCTTGGGTTGGATGAGAGTATGACTTTGGACGGAGAAAAATGGAGAGCGCATATAACTGTGGACGATTGAACTCTTTTCTTCCTCATCCCTTTTTTCATCTTTTATTTTAGTAATCATTCTATTTTCTTGTGTTCATCTTTTACTTTCATCTTTTGTTTTTCCTATGTCCTTTATCTCTTTTATCTTTAATCCATCTGACCATCTTATGTGCTTATGTTATTTTTATCTTATCCATTTTATCTTACCTTATCTTTTTATTTTTCTTATCTTTCTTCTCGTTTTTGCTTTGATATCATGGATCGATTCATGTTAGCTGACCCCAAATGCTTTTGGGATTTAACGCTTGGATGTTGTATGTGTTAGTACCCATGGTATTGGGCATTCTTGATGTGTAGAATGTGAACTTGTAAAGAGATGCTTAACATAGAAACTGATTTTGGTGTAAAAGGATCTTAAATACAAAGTGACGAGTCCTCCATCATCATCAACCACACGTTAATCCCAACTACATTGAGGTCAGTGTCATGAAATTTATCAATTAAATTTCTAAAATTAGATAAGACAAAAAATTCATCTTAAAATATAGTGCTAGAGGTTTACGCAAGATGTAACTTATGTCACAACCTTGTAAAGATGGGATCATGGGACAGAGTAATGAGATGAAATTCCAAAACACTCACCATAGTATTTTTAGTTATTAAATAACCAAATATCTTCTGAAGTGAAAAGTAAGAAATAAGCTATGTTCTTCCTATCTCTCCCCTTTTCCGGACTATTTGATTTCCCTATGTTACATGGTAGTATTTATATTACTCATAGTTTAGTTTTCTAATGAGTAATGATGCATAATTGCATATTTAACTATAATCCAGTTCCTTGGAGGACTTTTACTTTCATTGACATTTTGTTTATAATATAGTGACGAACACTCAATGCTTGAATAATGAACAAGAAAAATGTGAAATAAACAAATATGCCAGCAGGGGGCATTGTTCAGTTTGTACCAAGGCTTACAATGAACCAATAAGAAAAACTACACTTTAAATTCTCTCCATCTATTACCCAAGTTTCAATCACGCCATATTGCCACATTTATATTATTATTATTTTCATATTGATGCCTGATAAAAAAATAAAGATAGAATATAATATTGCATTATTTTTATAGATAGCATCACCTCTAATGCAGGTATAGACCCAAGATTATAAAGGCAGTGTTTGATAGTTGCATGATCATCAGACAACTTCTTCCTCAACATCTCATACAGAGCACTGGTATCTAAACTATCAATAGACTGACTTGGCACTGATTCTGATGAAGCTTGCAGTTTGAGTAAAACTGCATCAAACTGCCACAAGATCGACATAATTTAAAAAAACAGATCCAATAAAAAAAAAACACATAAACAAATTCAGTTATATATTTATTTTTATCAAACTAGTACAGTGCAATCTCATTGAAGTTTAAGTTTTCACCTTAGACCACAACGAATCCAGTTCTATTTTCAATTCCGAATTGCAAGTATGTGCCGTATCATAAAATATACAGCACTCATTTGTGGAAGAGGAAAGATCTTCTGAGTCCCCTGAATTCTCTTTTGAAAATATCTGAGAAGTACTCAAGAAATGAGGTCTGTGGAGAAAGACAAATATAACCTTAAGACAGATCATCATTAACCATTAACCAGCAGAAACCTGGGAGTCTAGAAGATTTTCAAGATTCTCCTTGGTTGTTGAGGTGCCTGTACATAAAGGTTCATTTATGGTTTTAGCGGATTTCTAAAACATAGAAACAGATAAACTATAAAGTTCAGTAAAGCCAATTGCATAATATTGATGGACTAGAGTTTATATCCATCATTGCATAACTTACTTACTTTCCAGATACACCATACATAAGCATAAAAATGCATTGATTTGTTTGTAACTTTGTGTTCAAAGCAAACACGAGTAATTTTAATGAGTTCAAGTTTTGCTGCTTTTCATTCTTTTCCATTTTCAGGGAAGCGGTGTTAGGCGTAGATGGGGGGGATTGAAATTCGAAGTTTAAACATTACCTTTCCTAGATTTCACACAAGCAGACATCCCAAAAATCTTAGGCTTTTTGCTGGATTGATGATAGAAATCCTGTTCAAATGAAAAAATAATGATTAGAGGCCATATCTGTAGAAATCTACTAAAGTAGTAAATAGTAAAACAACTAGGAAATTCATGAGAGTTTCTTGAGGTATTATGACAAGACCTTCATAATTTTGGCATAGGGATGGCTGCCACTGGCGCAATGGCAGTCATCTAGGACCAATAAGCAAATTGTTCCAATATTCAAAAATTCCTTTACCAATCCATTCAATAAAATCTGTGGTGTCATCACCAAAACCTATCCAAACAAGAGGAGCAATCTGTGATGTATATCATCTCAACAAAATTATGTATCATTTATATTTCACAAGTAATACTCTTACAATTCAAGCTTGGAGATCCAAACATATTTAAATAAATAATTTATATCCGCCTCTTTAAACAGTCAAACATGTATGCTGGTATGTATTAGTCTTTCCATCCCAATTTGTTTGCTCCTTTCACTATTCCTACGGTCAACCAAATTCCTTTTTACTCTTTAATTTGGTGTATCAAATTTTTATCATATTTGTATTCATTTTTTAATAGAAAATTTGATTTTTAATTCAGTCAACCTTCATAATCTGAAAGGGACAAACAATTTGGGATTGAGGTAGTATGTGATATGGAGTATTATATTAGGTACGCAGCCGTGCAGGTGTATGCCTCAGTGCCTTTAGGGGCATACAAAATTGTACAATTATCTTTGAGAACTATAACCACAATTTAGAATGCATCCAATATATGATTGGAGTTTCATTTGATAAAAAGAACCTATCTTGCAAGTAATCATTAATGAAATAATGGTATTAATGCTGTTGCATTAAATAGTCGCCGGTATCTACCATCCGTATATGATAGAAAAGTATTGGCCGTAGTTGATCTTTTTAACCATACAAAAAAATTAGAACAGATCATAGTACAAATTGGAAAGGAGGTGACTTGTTACATCATGATCATTCACTTCTTTTTCCCATGTGTCAGCATCCCATGTATCAATTCCTCTTGCCCCATAGAATTGTTGGACTTGTAGCTTGGTGTGGCATTTTATGGCCTCAAATTGCTGCAATGTGGGAGTAAAAAATAGGGATTTCATTATAAAGTGCATGAATCTTAAAGTTATTTAGAGAATTTGGAAATGCAATGTAAAGCAAAAAAAGCCTTACCTTTTATGGAAATTCAAGGGATAGTATTACAATGCGTATAGAACAGTACACTTACAATAGAAGAATTTGAATAAATAGCGCTTTGTACTAATTCGTACTCCCTCCATCCCGAATTAAACTTCATGATTTGGTTTGGCACAACTATTAATAAAGTTGGTTGAAAAGGAAAAGATGCAATTGAGATTTAAGTACACAAGATTGAAATGATAAGAACCATATTTATTTACCTAGAAGGAAAGAGGAAGATTAGTTCGGGACAGCCTAAAAGGAAAACAGAAAGTTTATTTCGGGAAGAAGGGGTATTTAGTACATACTTCCTCCGTTCTTTTGTAGTTGCCACACTTCCATTTTCACGTTTGCCAATGCATAACTTTGACTATTAATATATGTAACTCTCTAATTGTAAAAAAATAATTAAAATCACATTTTGAAAATTTAATATTAGAACAATTTATTTATATTTTTTAAAAATTAATGTTATAATGCATTCGTTAATAAAATGTAGTCAAAGTTGAACACGTGAATAGTGAAAAGCACACAAAGTCTAATTTCAAAAAACCTAAAACCAGAATGGATCCTCCTTTTGGAATAGTCAATATGTCAAATGGAAAAAGTCAAAAAACTAGCATAATGTCACACTGTTCCATGAACACAAACCATAGATGCAGTTCAGATTTAAGTACAAAAGATTGAAATGATAAGAACCATATTTATTTACCTAGAAGGAAAGAGGAAGATTAGTTCGGGACAGCCCAAAAGAAAAACAGAAAGTTTATTTTGGGAAGAAGGGGTATTTAGTCATACTTCATATGAATGAAAAGCACACAAAGTCTAAGGTATTCTAAATTCAAAAACCTAAAACCAGAATAAATCCTCCTTTTCGAATAGTCAATATATCGAATGGAAAAACTACCATCAACTCACATTGTTCCATGAACACAAACCATAGGGCATAATCATAAGTTCACAGGATTAAAAGAGCTACAAACTCACTAAAATCTTTTAGATAACAATCAAACACAACAAGCACGGATACTTCTTGGTTTATATTCTAGAAACAAAAAAAAAACTTAATTTTAGGAAATCTTTTAAAGAATCAAACTCTGCATCTTTGTCATTATTACCCATCAGAAGTTGGAAAAAACGAAAACTGGAACATGCCTGATGAACAAGATTAACTGTAGTGGCTAGAATTGCAATCTTTTTGCCAACATTAATCTCCATTAAAGATTTCACAAATTCTTGAACCATCAGCAGAGAAAGCATTGTCCTGTCAGTACCCGGATCCACCATAGCAATTGTGTTCCTCATTAATGCAACCTTGACAGCCTTCATCTCACTTCAATTAATCCAAAAAAAGGCATAGAACAGTTCTTAAACTCACATTGAAATCAAAATTGCATGAAGCACCCTCCGAATGTCCATAAACAAGTTTCACCTTTACTTCTACCCAAACTTTTGTCACATTCTATTGTTTTTAGTTAAATACATGTTTTAGTGCATACTCTGAATAAAATAAAAAACTACACGTAGTAAATACTACCTCCGCCACAAAAAGTTTATCCTGAAACGTGTAAGCTTTTTTAGGGGGTAGTATCTATAAATTAACAAAAAAGTTAAGCTTAAAATTGCAATAAGAGATCAGCATACTCTCTTCGTAGAGGCCGTGGTTTGTCCACGTTAGTCGAGTCAGTTTCTGTTTGCCCTCCATTCATGACTTGGAAGCTTCTCTTCAGAGAGGTTTGCTGGGAATGCTCCATTTTTCGCTTTTCTTTTCTAGAAATATCGACGCAAAAATAAAGAATTCAGTCCATAAAACTTCTCTGCAATGCAAATAACATGAAAGGTTTCGACTTTCCCTTAGCTGTTCGCTCACAACTTGATGCTGAGTATGGAAAGAAGAGCTGAGGGAGGGTGAGAAGTAACTTTTCGAGTTCTGGTTAGGGAGTCTACTCCGTATTTTATTTTTCAGATTTTTTTCCCAGAAAAATGCTAATTAAATAAATAATTTCCAAAATACTGCCGGGTTAAGAATAATTCCCGAAATACTGCTGGGTTAACCACGGTTAAGGAAAGCCGCCACTCCAAGTGGCGGCTTTTGTACAGCTTCACAAAAGCCGCCACTTGGAGTGGCGGCTCTTTTACCTCTGTATGAAAGCCGCCACTCCAAGTGGCGGCTCTCGTGTTAAAGAACCTGCTGCAACATCATTCAGACAACTAAACCTGTAATTACCAAAAAAACAGCTCATCACAAAATCACAGTCCATTCCATTCAAAAAACAACCAAACATATGATTTACTAAGACCAAATACACCCGAAACATAAAACGAATCAATGAAACTACATGACAACATACATCCAAAATACAAAACGATTTACTAAGACCAAATACACCCGAAACATAAAACGAATCAATGAAACTACATGACAACATACATCCAAAATACAAAACGAATCAATGAAACTACATATTATGAAAGTTTCACAAAACGAATCAATGCACCACAAAATTGAGTATAAACCATAAAAGTTATAATAAATCTGGTGTTTCACAAAATGATTCGATCTGCCAGTGCATGCTACAACTTTCACACAATAATTTAAATACAAAGATCATAAGTCAATGTGATCATCATCATCATGAAGTTCATGTGGCTGTGCTCGGGGACGCCTGCGTTGGTTACGAGGCTGAAGAACAACTCTATCACGTCGGACTGCCTAAGAAGACCCTGCTGCGGATGTAGATGCGGTGGAATGCTGAGAGGTGGCCATATATCCATAATCCACTCGACCCAATACATCAGCGCACAATGAAACAATGCCTGAACAAGCGTCATGGTATCCCTGTACATCTACCGCCTCATCAAGTATAACAGTCGCTCTGTCATGGATGCTACGCAAAGCCCGTGTCTGTAATGCAAACATGGTTATTAGTGAAAAACACATGAATAAATAAATAAAGATATTTCATTGACTATATTGTTTACCGTCATATGAAGAGCGACTGAGCTAGGCTGGTAATGATCAGTGGGTAAACGAAAACTGGGAGAGATAAACACCCGTGTGATGGTGTAATACCATCTCATGTAGTCTACAGAAGCTGTGGGGACTAATGATGGGATCCCGTCCACTATATACGCCGCTCTCTCTTCCCACATAGTGATATACTGAATATGGCGCATCCCCCAATCTTCAGTGTGCTTCCCCCGTCTATCAATCTTGTGCAAATCCACAGATGTATCACAAGGTCCGGGAGTAACCTGCTGCAACCCGAACTGGCGTAGTACGCGATCAGGAAAGTGATGCTCCACTACATCAAAACATATCAAGGGCACACGTGCTCGCCATATCTCAGTGTGCTCTCGGGCAACAGGAGGCAACAGCCCTAGAATCTCATTAGTGTACGGCATCCACGTCATCTATAATATAAAATTATGTTAGACCATGGTTTATAAAAACATAAAACAAAGTACTTACATTTAATGATATAAATGATATACCTGATCATCACACAAGCGATCTAAAGCATCTCGGTAGTATCCTAATCCAGCAGCGGATGACGTGCGCGTGACATGAGCAAATAGCCATCTGACACACAGTAATGTATAAGAATATAAAAGGGATTCACGTACATCATACAAAAAAATCATAAACATACCTACGACCCAAAGGATCCTCGCCACGAACATGATGTGGCCCAAGTACAGCGTGCTGATCCATATCATCATCAAGAGGACCACCATCTACCCCATGATATCGCAGTATGACAGGTCTGCCGATATGAATGTGCTCCCATGACCATAGCTGTATGAGCAATAAAAACCCACCCATCTTTCCACCGTCACGATGGCAACCTCGACATAACTGCCGATATAGGTATGCTAAAGTCGCACTACCCCAGCTATAAACTGCAGCAACATCAAAAGACTCCAGAATGGGTAAATACAAGACCTGCACCTCATTCCCGCTCTTGTCCGCAAACGTGGAAGCTCCCATAAGCATCAGAATGTAGGCTCTCGCGTACTGCTGCACAACATCGTCATCAGCATCAGCAGGTAAACCAACAAAATGCTCTCTCAACCAAGCCATCCTCAAGGCGGACCCCCGAATATCTGTCCCAGGGTGTGGTCGTACTCCCAACAATCTGTGTACCTAATCAACCCACAGTCTACATGCAGTCCCAGTAACTGCCCGGCCCTCGATCGGTAGACCTGCCAATACAGCCACATCTCCTAATGTGATCGTGACCTCACCCACCGGTAAATGGAACGTGTGAGTCTCCTGCCTCCAACGCTCAAGTAGAGCGGTAAGTAATGCTCTATCTATATGCAGAGTCGAAACTAATCTGTGAACACCATAAAACCCAGCTAATCGAACGTAATGTAGAATCCTATCGTCCACCCCCGTGTGGAATATACTGCGTAGGTGCTCACGACACCTATCTACCTGAACATCCAGGCCACGCCACACATCCTCGCTCCGATGCGTGGCCTGGAATGTCAGGACTGAAGGATCAATCGGCCCGGGATCCACTGACACCTGCATCGGCGCTGTAAAAGTAATAGGTGTATTAGTTATTTTATTTTATTATTAAATTAAATTTATTTATTTTTTAATATTGCTAATGCATTTGTGAATAAAAAAACAACATTACCCAGTGGAACTCCCTACGTGTCCCTCCGATCTTCTAGCACATGTCGTCCTGTTATGCCCTGTTTGCTTGCATTTACTGCATCTCACAGTACCTGTAGGGCCTTCATCCATTTCATTTCTCAATCGTTTAGCCTTCGGACGATCTTTAGCGCGAATCATCGACGGGTCATGCACAACTCGTGGGCCAGTGTAAGTAGGTCGATACGCTATATCTGGTATGGGCTTAAATACTCTTTTATAGGAAGCAGCATACTCCGATGATGAAAAAAAAATATCTACAAATGGATCATAGGACAAACTACGGTCTCTGCATACCGCTAATATATGTGAGCAAGGAATCTTATAAATATTCAGCTTCTGACATGTGCAATGGAGACGGTGCAAATTTACCGTCTGTTTTTTACCACCCTTCCCCACGGTTCGACCACCACGACCCGTCTCCACTTGGTATAAACCACGGCCTATGTCAAATATTGTGACCTTGTGATGCTTTGCTTTTTCCGTATTTTTCTCAATCAGTTCGGTCACTTGCTGGCAGTAGCGATGCCCTTCTGCTAAAGGGAACAGTTGATTATTAGCATCACTACCCATTGCCACCAACAGCGTACCTTTATACTTCCCATATAAGTGTGTTCCATCGATGGTCAGTAAGGGACGACAATGTTTAAAGCCCTTAATGGATGGCTTAAATGACCAAAAAACTCTTTGAAACTGCTGCACATCAGTGGTACCTGAAGATGGAGAAAATTAGGAGGTGGGTACAAAATGAAATTAAATATGATATAATAATAATATTAATAACTCATTGGTACCTGAAAGAGGTGGGTACCAATGCACGACTGTCCCTGGATTGGAATGTTGTAATGCCAACATGAAATGAGGCAATTCAGAATACGAGGCCTCCCAATCTCCAAATATTTCACCGATAGCTTTTTGCTTAGCCAACCAACTTCGCTTGTATGAAGGTATATAGCCGTACCTTTCCTTCATAAGCTGACTAATAGTGCGGACTTTTAGTGATGGATCGGTACGAAGAAGATCAATAATTTCACGGGCTATGAACTGAGCTGTGATACCAGCATGGTCATTGTTATCGACGTTACCTACACAAGTAGGTATATGAGGACCTGCATAACGAACAACTTTGAACATCTCTAGTTTCTCATGTTTCTTAGTAGCCCGAATCCGCCAAGTGCAACCACATTCTTTTCTCCTCTTACACTCTGCCGCCCATTTGTGTTTGTCAGACTCTACAACTGAGAAAAATTGGTTCCTCTTTACAGAGTACGTTCTAACCATGTTGATCAGTTGTTTCTTATCATCAAACTCTTGTCCAACCTCGAATTCACCTCCTGCAGAGAAGCGACTAGAAATTGTACAAGCCTTCCATGATTCATCAAATCCCGCAGGGAGCTCATAAACTTTAGTGTAGTGGCTGGATGGTGCATTGACACTTACGAGATCACCACCATCTTCATCTGAATCTGTTAGTGTGTCATGGTTCACATTCTCATCTGCATCGTCGTCATTGCACTGTGAATCCAGAAACGTTACATCACTATTCACGTATCTTCCATTCTCCTGTGTAACCATATTCATCACAACTGGAACACTTGTGGATGGGCAAGACAATGGCGGGTGACCAGGTTGTATGGGCAACACCGCCACTTCTTCAACATATATCTCCATGGTATGCATATCAAGATTCTCGATTACAGTCCACATTCCTGTAACGGCTTCGTCGTCAGCAAGAGGCATCAACATGTATGATCCACCATGCATCGGATATTTAACCTTCAAATCCAACTTCTTCATACGATTGATGGATGTGGCGGCATAAATTTTATTCATTATTTCAGCAAGATCCACCCCACGGGAAACAACAATTATCTTCCGAATCCCTCCTTCATAATGAACTCCGTTTGACTCCTCGATAATATTTCCTCCCCATTGACAAACAATGGAGAAGTTTCTAGACATATTCTACGAAAAAAAACATTCCAAACAAAGTATGACGTATGCCGCTATTTGAAAATTCAACTACAATTACTATAATTCAAACGAAAAGTATTAGATCGTAGATACATATTACGATTTCATACCATTAAATTAGGACTCATAATCATTAACCAAAACATAAACAAAGTAAACATTTATTACATATAATCATAAACAAAAACAAAGTAAACATTTATTACATAAAAATAATTTTCTTATATAGAACTAAAACATAAACAAAGTAAACATTTATTACATATAATCATTTTTTTCTTCTTAAAGTAGGGCTTATTCACGCATAAT